GAAAAGAGGGGCAATAAATAATATAAATGGTGATAAGTTTGATTTTGGTTGGTTACATGACAGAAATGAAGCCCCCAAAAAGCGGGGCTCAAAATTACCAAAGGAAAAAGAACACATGGTATTTGAAGACGGGCCTTGGACTCAAATAGACCTACATTCAGATCCAGTTCTTAGACTTTCCAGCTGTGCGACCTCAGGCAAATGACTCAACCTTTCAAAAAGTGGCTCCGTTTCTTTAAGGTGGGGTTGATAATGGTAATGGTATCTATGTCAAATGGTCGGTAAGGCTCAGAAAGCTCAGGGCCACCGCATGGATAAGTGATGTAGTGATTAACTGCTGCACACCTGAAGCCTTCTTTCAGGCCAGCCCTCCCTGTGCTCCCTGTGCCCGCGGTGTAACTATAGGCCCTGTGCTCATCTTCCCTCCTTTGCCTTTGTCGTCCCTTCTAGGCTGGTTCACTGCTCATCCCAGCATGCTTCAGTTCCCAGACCTATCCGAACCTGAGATCTTGTGGGACTAACCCTGAGCAAAGTTTTCTGGAAAACTCTGGAGCTGATTCTCTCTCCTGGGTCACGAGAATCTCCGTATCCCCAGGCCTTCTCCATCCCACTGGGCTCCCCATGAATTACAAGGTGAAAAGCGAGTGTGAGCCACCTGGACACGAAGCCAATCAGGTTCAGGAATGCTGAGGAAGCATGTGCGCTCCGCAAGTCTCTCATCCGCACAGAGCCGGCTCTGCCAACGCCCACCACCACCACGCCAAACTTCTTCTCAGGCTAAAACACAAGACACCAAGGTGGGGTTTAAAACAGTCCAGAGTTCAACACAATTCCTATTAAAATGCCAATGGCATATTTCACAGGTCTAGGTCAAATATTCAAAAAATGTATATGGAACCAAAAAAGATCCCAAAGAGCTGCAGCAATCTTGAGAAAGAACAATGTTGGAGATATCAAAAGACCTGAAATAAAACTATACTACAGAACATTGTAATCAAAACAGCCTGATATTGGTATAAGAACAAGTATGTAGGTCAGTGGAACAGAACAGAGAGCCCAGAAATATACCCATGCCGCTTTGGACAATTAATATTTGATACAGAAGCATACAATGAAGTAAGACAGTCTCTTCAATAAATAATATTGGGAAATTTGAACAGGTGCATGCAAGAAAATGAAACTATACGACCAAATTATACCATACACAAGAATAAACTCGAAATGGATAAAAGTCAGGAAACAATAAAAATCCTAGAAGAAATCAGAGGTAGTAAAGTCTCAGACATCTCTCATAGCAATATTTTTGCCAATATATCCCCTAGGGCAATGGAAACAAAGAAAAATTAAACAAATGGTACTGGGGGCTGGGGGTGGGGGTTGGGTAGAAGTGAGCAAAGGGGGGCAAAAATGGGGGACATGTGTAATAGTGTTGACAAAAACAAATTTTAAAAAATCAAAAGCTTCTGCACAGCAAAAGAAACCATCAATAAAATGAAAAGGGAACCCACTGTATGGGAGAGCACATTTGATAAGGGGTTAATTTTCAAAATATATAAGGAACTCATACAACTTAACACCAAGAAGATAAACAATCCAACTGAAAAATGGGCAGGGTTCAAAATGGCAGCGGAGTAAGTGGATCTTGCTTGCAACTCCTCCTAGAACAGAACTGGAAATCACAACTAAATTAGGGAACAACCACCCTGAATTACCAACTAAAGACTACCTGAATGCCAAAGACTAGCAGAAGTCACCTCAAGACTGTTAGGAAGGGCTAGACGTGTAAGATTGGCTCCATCCCACAGGAAACAGGCCAAAGTTGGGGAAGGGATAGCTCAAATGAAGAGGTTAACCTGTGAGGCCTGAAGCCTAGATCCCAGACCACACTCCCAGCCTGGATCACCAGCCTCGTGGGGAACAGTTCCCACGTAGCATCTAGCTGTGAAGGGCTGAGGGGTTCCTGTCCGCCAAGGGGAGGTGGGCCTGCTGGAGACAAAGAGACCCTTTTAAAGGGCCAATGAGCAAAACTGTCACCAGCCACTCACCCTGGGCTCCAGCAGAGAGAGGGTGATGTGGACTGAAGTCACCTGAGGAGAGACTGGGAAGAATGGCTTTGGGAAGAGACTGGCAGAGTGGCTGCAAGGATCCCTGTGCTGGGCCATCTCCCCACCACAGCAGCCATTTTTCTTGCAAGGAGCAATCACCCCCAGCGCCATCAGCATGGGGAAAAGCATTACCCCACCCTCAAGAATCCGGCTCACCCACCCTCTGGAATCCTGCATCTTTTAAAATATTGTTGACAGTATTACAGATGTCCCCCATTTTGCTCCTTTTTTCTCCCTTCACACTACACCCGCCCCACTCCAGGCCTTCCCCCACTATTGTCTGTGTCCATGGGTTATGCATAAATGCATATATGTTCTTTGGCTAATTTCTTCCCATCCCCTCCACTCCTCCCCACCACCTCTGAGATCTGTCATTCTGTTCCATGCATCCATGTTCATCAGTTTATTTTGTTCATTCGATTTCACATATAAGTGAGACCATGTGGTATTTGTCTTTCTCTAACTGGTTTACTTCACTTAGTATAATAATCTCCAGGTCCCTCCATGCTGTCACAAAGTTTAAGAACTCCTATTTTACAGCCCCATAGTATTCCATTGTGTGAATGTACTACAGGTTTGTTTTATCTACCCATTTGCAGATGGGCATTTAGGCTGTTTCCATATCTTAGCTACTGTAAATAATACTCTATAAACATATATTCTTTTTGATTGCTGTTCTGGATTCTGAGGTTATAGTCCCACAAGTGGGATCACTGGCAGTTCCATTTTTAGTTTTTTGACAAAACCCCATACTGTTTTCCACAGTAGCTGCACAGTCGGCATTCCCACCAGCAGTGTACTAAGGTTAACTTTTCTCCACATCCTCACCAACACTTGTTTATTGATTGATTGATGGTAGCCATTCTAGCAGGTGTGAGGTGATACCTCATTGTCCACTCTCACCACTGTTATTCACCGTAGTACTGGAAATCTTAGCCAGTGTAATCAGACAAAAGAGATAAATAAAAGGCATCCAAATTTGGAACGAAGAAGTAAAATTGTCAGTTTTTGCAGATGACTTGATTTTTTATATAGAAAATACTAAAAACTCTACTGCAAAACTATTAGAAACAATAAACAATAGAGTTGCAGAATACAAAATCAATGTACAAAATTCCATTCATTCCTATTTACTAACAATGACATTTCAGAAAAAGAAATGGAAAAAACAATTCCTTTTGCAATTGCAACAAAAAGAATAAAATACCTACAAATAAACTTAACAAAGGATGTATACAATGAAAACTACAAAGTATTATTAAAAGAGATTTCAAAAAGACACAAATAAATATAAAGATATTCTGTGTTCCTAATTGGAAGAATCAACAAAGTGAATATGGCATATTTCCTGTTAGACAGACATAGGTAGAGTAAGGATGATGGGCCAGCAGAGAAACTCACCAGGGCAGAAAGCCCCAGATGCTAACCAGGGGCAATACTGGGGAAAACTGGATAGGCCCCCACGGTAGCCTATCCTCCCCTAGCATATCACTGGTCATGTGGTTTGGACCCCTTATCTTTCATATCACTCACTGATCAGGCGGTTTAGACCCCCTGACATTCTCCTCCCTAAAGATAGGTTTCTGTTGCATTTCAGCTCCAGGCCCAGAAAAGTATGGGCTGCCTGAGGTGCAGCAAGTAAACAAAACTTGATCAGGTGCATGTAATTGAGTAGTTTCAAAACCCATAAGAATGTTGTAAACATCTTGACCAGGCCCTTACTTTGCCTCGTGGAATCTGGCTATAAAATAAAGATTCAGCTTACAGGCCATGGCACTGTCTCTCCATCAGAGAGGGCAACATCTCACCCAGACCCAGCTTTATTCTCTTGTCTGTCTTTTCTTAATCCTTCACTGACCCCTCTCAGGCTCACTGAACCTAACTGTGCTGGCGTGGCACATATGGCGCCCAACATGGGGCCTGAGTTCGGGGGAACTGCAATTGTAAGGTGAAAGGAGGCTCTGTTGAGGCACATGCAAAAAAAGTAGGGTAGGGAGCAAGGTTTGGTAGCCACTGGGTGTAAAACATGGGAAATTCAGAATCTTAGGAAGGGGATCCCTAAAACAATGCTTAGTGAAGCATTTTTAAATTTCTTAAGTTTTGTTAGGAACTGTAAAGCAAAGGAAGTCCTGGTCAGCGAGATGCTTAGAGCCAGGCCAGGGCATTTTGTTAAGGACTGTCTGCTGTGGTCTGTGGTTGACTATAAAGAAAAATCAGACCCTCCAGAAGAAAATCCAGGGACACCAGCTTCACATCGACATCTTCGCATCGACGACATCTTCGTATCGACGGCATCTTTGAGAGGAGCCAGAGCATCATTACCGACAGCAGCAGCCTGAATGCCCTGCGGCAGCTGTGGGGCCTCCTCGTCGAGGAGATGGAGAAGCGGCACTGGCAGCTGGAGGAGGTGCAGGGGACCCAGAGAAGCTCCTTGTCCCTCTGTTCAAAAGACTGAGAGATGCCCCAATGATAGCAATGCGGAAGAAGAAGACAACAAAGGCTACGCAAGGGACTGAGGTGCCAACACGGGATCAGCTGAAGAAGCTAACAACTGAGGCCCAGCAGATGGTAGAAAAGCAAGGAGTGGAAGCTACTCCCTCAACCATGTTTCTGACTATGCTAGCGTTAGTGAGCTGCCAGTTTTCTGTAAAGTCTTGTGCAGCCAAATTTGAGGACTCTGAGTAGATATACACCAGCAGCAAAAGAAACTAACATATCTGTAGTTTGGTTTCTCCTTTATTGCTGTGTTGCATTAGCACTGTTTTGTTATTGTTTTATTAATTGCCAGAGTTTTGTTCTCTCTTGTTGTTGTATTACATTAACATTACTGTGTTTGATTGTTTTGTTAATAGCCAGAAGTTTGTTCTTGATATGTTGGTTATGCTGCATAATTTGCCTAGAACTTTTGATGATGTTCTGCCGCTCCTGGTGCTGCTTGTGTGCTCGTTTGGTGCGGACCTGGTACCTCTTTTGTGAAGCGGCAGCTGAGGAGACTCCGGCGCTCACCATGGCTGACGAAAAGCCCAAGGAAGGAGTCAAGACTGAGAACAACGATCATATTAATTTGAAGGTGGCGGGGCAGGATGGTTCTGTGGTGCAGTTTAAGATTAAGAGGCATGCACCACTTAGTAAACTAATGAAAGCCTATTGTGAACGACAGGGTTTGTCAATGAGGCAGATCAGATTCCGATTTGACAGGCAGCCAATCAATGAAACAGACACACCTGCACAGTTGGAAATGGAGGATGAAGATACAACTGATGTGTTCCAGCAGCGGACAGGAGGGGTCTACTAAAAAGGGAACCTGCTGCTTTACTCCAGAACTCTGTGCCTCCAGACCAAGAAGACATTCTCAATTAGAAAACTGCAATTGGGTTTCAACACATCTGACTACTACAGTATAGTTTTCTCTATTCTTTCATTTTCCCCTTCCCCATTCCTTTATTGTACATAAAGTAACGGATGTATGTGCACAAGCATTTGCATTTTTTTTAACTAAATGGCCAATGGTATGTTTTGAGCTACATCAAATGGAGATGGGATGGGGAAAAAAAAATACTGGTTCTGTGAAAACACCCCCTTTCTCCATTAGTGCCATGCTCATCCAGCTCTTATCTTTATATTCCAGTAAGTTATTTTGCTCTCACTGTTTAACAAAAAAAGAACAACATAAAAATTCTTGCATACCTTGTTTGATTGGAGAATTTTAATCTTTTTCATTTATCATTGTAAAACCAAGGACAATTTTATAACTTTTTTGTACGTAGCTGTTACATGTAGGGCAATCTGTCTTTAAGTAGGGATAAATTACTCTAAAAAAATGAATCCTAGATAGTTTTCCCTTCAAGTCAAGTGTCTTGTTGTTTAAAATGAAAAAAAAAAATAAAAAAAAATAAAAACAGAAAAACACTGTTTTTAAACAGTGTGTGTGTGTGGGGGGGGGGGGGGGCGGTGATGTGGAGAGCGGCTCCCAGGTGGCTAAGTGATATGGGCTGCCTGCGGTGCAGCTAGTAAACAAAACTTGATCAGGTGCATGTAACTGAGTAGATTCGAAACCCACGCGAATGCTGTAAACATCTTGGCAGTGTCCCATGCAGACCCAGCTTTATTCTCTTGTCTGTCTTTTCTTAATCTTTCACTGCCCCCTCTCAGGCTCACCGAACCTGGCTGTGCTGGCGCGGCACACTTCTGATTGAGTGTTTTTGCATCCTCATATTCTAAATCGTTGATTTGATTCTCGGAATTCTCTACTCTACTGTTGAATCCCTGTAAATTATTTTTATTTCAGTTAGTGTATGCTTAATTTCTGTGGTCATTTTTCTGTCTTTGACATTCTCACTGAGATCCTTGAAAGTCTCACTAAGTCCCTTGAAGCTCTCATGAAGATCCTTGAGTAACCTTATAACCATGGCTTTAAACTCTGTATTCAGTAGTTTGCTTATTTCCATTTCTTTCATTTGTGACATGTTTCTTTGCCTCCTCATTTTGACTGCTTCCCTGTGTTTACTGCTATGTATTAAGTAGAGCTACTATGTCTTCTGGAACTGGTAGAATGGCCTTGTGTAGTAGGTGTCTGAATGATGGTTGTTCTGTATTTATTGTTTTTTGAGATCATCTCTCCAGGCAGCTCAGAAAAAATATCAAAAGTGAGGAAAAGGACACTACCACAGAATTCACAAATATTGAAAGGATAATATGAGACTATTATGAATACCTTTATAGCTAGAAATTCAACAATTTGGATGAATTAGTCATATTCCTTAAAAAACTCAAAGTGCCCAGTTGATTGAAGTGCCATTCCCTACACCAAAAGGTGGCGGGTTCGATATCCAGGCACATATCCAGGTTGTGAATTCCATCCTTGGTCGGGATGCATGTAGGAGGCAACGGATTGATGTTCCTCTCTCACATCAATGTTTCTCTCTCTTGCTCTCTCCCCCTTCCTCTCTCTAAAAATCAATTTTTAAAAAATAGAATGCAGAAGGGCCTAATTCTTTCCATATCACCCAGAGCCATGTTGGAGGGGGAATGTTTTCGAGTTTGTGCTGATGTTTCTGAAAGCTCTGAAGGGAGAGAAGACACTCTGTGAAGGAAAAATGAACACTGCAAGAAAACATTCTTTAAACTGGCACTTTTAAAGAACTCACCTCTGCATTCATCTTGGTCTCTTCTTCAGTGGCTATAAAGACAAAAAAGTAGAGGTTCAGGACCCTGGAGGCACCTGCCCCAAACTCCATGCAGATGCTCACTTGGCCAGTCCCACTTCCTTCTCTACTATTTCCTGTCCTGTTGACCACATACTCCCCAAATGCCTTTACTACCTTGTGCCCTCCAGCAAGATACCTAGACCAGTGTATGATTCTGAGGCTGGTGGTGGCTGACTTCCCTGGGACATCATGCCAATGATGTTTCTATAAAGAAGACCATTTCCAATCCCCAAAGACCATCCCCTACACTGGAATATAGCTGTGAATATCATACTTCTGTGTACTTGAAAGTATGATGCACTTCCAAAAGCTGGGACTCAGAGAGGATAGCTTTGTATAGAACCATCTTTTGTGGGGACAAGCAAGGCAGTAAGAAATACATACATTTCTCCCTCTCCTAGCCGAGTTTCCAGAGGACTTATAGTTATTATATTAGAAGAACAGTTCAACAGGCGACTCTGAACCCTTAGCATTAAGAAGGTGGAAAAAGGGAGCAAACAGGTGTGCAGGGAATGAGAAAAGAAAAGGGGAAGATAAGAGGAAACAGGAGAAAGAAGGAAAAGAAATAAGAAACTAGTGAGGAATAACAGTGGTTCCAAACTTTAATGTACTCCAGAAACTGCTTGTTGAAAATGGGTATTTCTAGGATTTACCCCAAGAGATCCTGATTCATTATGAACAAAATAAACTGATGAACAAAACAGATCCAGAGACTTAGAAGCATAGAAGAGACTGATGAATCTCAGAAGGTGGGTGGGGAGAGATTAACCAAAGAACTTATATGCATAATTCATGGACACAGACAATAGTGTGGTGAAGGCTTGGGTGGGGGCCGGGGGGGAGAGATGGGTGTGGAATAGAGGGGGTCAATGGGAAAAAAGTGGGACATCTGTAATACTTTCAACTGTAAAGATAAATTTTTAAAAAGATAAAGTAAGTCTATAGGAGAGGGGAGGCTAAGAATCTGCATTTCCAACAGGCATCCAAGAGATCAGGTACAGATGGTCAGAGAGCCACACTTGGAAAAATACTAGAGAGTAAAGCAGAGGTCCCTAAGTATTAACTTTCCCCTTCATTTTTCAGAACTGTTAGAAATGCCACTTTATTTTAACTAAGACTTGGGCAGGCAAGGGCAGGATGAGTGAGGTAACCAGAGGTGACAAAAGTGGACTAAAGATGCCTCTTCAGCTCTTCCATCTGAATGAGAAGTCCAAGATGATAATGAAAACGACTGCTCAGAGCTTATGGGAGAGGGCAGAGGCCTTCCATGGCATCTGGGAAGGGAAGGCTGTGGCAACCCCTGTGGACCCAGCTCCGCATTTGATCTTATTTTCTTTTAAAATATAAAAAGGCTTAAGCATGGTGATTATTATTGTGAACTAGAGGCCCAGTGCATGAAATTCATGCACGGGGGGGGGGGGGGGAGGTCAGCCCGGCTGGCATCCTCTCCAATCTGGGATTCCTCTCGCCATCCAGCATTTGGACAGCCCTCTCGCAATCCAGGACCACTGGCTCCTAACTGCTCACCTGCCTGCCTGCCTGGTCGCCTTAACTGCTCTCCCCTGCCGGCCTGATTGCTCTAACTGCTCTCCCCTGCCAGCCTGATCACCCTAACTGCTCTCCTCTGCTGGCCTGATCACCCCTAACCACCTCTGCCTTGGCCCTGCCACCATGGCTTTGTCCGGAAGGATGTCCAGTCTAATTAGCATATTAGCCTTTTATTAGTATAGATAATAAGAGTGAAATAACACCCATTTAAAAAACCTTGACTATTGGCAATCCTAATATCAGCTGAGATGATCATCTGGGCTGTGTGTTTAAAATAACATGTTTTGCCCAGCCGGTGTGGCTCAGTGGTTGAGTGTCGACCTATGAACCAGGCGGTCACAGTTCCATTCCCAGTCAGGACACATGTCTGGGTTGCAGGCTCGATCCCCGGTGTGGGGTGTGCAGGAGGCAGATGATTCTCTCTTATCATTGATGTTTATATCTCTCCCTCTCCCTTTCTCTCTGAAATCAATAAATATATATATTTTTAAAATAACATGTTTTCAGGAATTTCCCTCCCTTTTCTTTTCCCATTTCTCCTTCCTACTTAAAAGTGGGTTAAAACCTGGCCCACACATGGCTCTTTCCTTTTGAAATATGGAAGCTTTTGCCGTCTCCTGGAAATCTGAAAAAGGGACCTTGCTGAAAGACAAACCCTAAAAAACAGAGTGATAAAGTGGGCAAGCTTTCTTCTCAAATCTCTGGGAGTCAGTACGGGTATGATGACTTATAGTCTCCCTTGGAGCTTAAATGAGAGTGGGCAAGTCAAGCAGCAAAATGCACAAATAGCCCTAACCAGTTTGGCTCAGTGGATAGAGCGTTGGCCCACAGACTTGAGGGTTCGGGTTTGATTATGGTTAAGGACATGTACCTTTGTTGCGGGCTCGATCCCCAGTAGGATCAATGTTTCTCTCTCATCAATGTTTCTCTCTATCCTGTTCCCTTCCTCTCTGTAAAATCAATAAAAACAAAAAAATAAAAACTGTTCTGCCTTAATTTAAACAAACAAAAAAAATGCACAAATATGAGGAAGGTGGTAACAGTGGTGAGCCTACTTGTTTCAGCTACTTTATATACATTAACCCTAATCCTTGAGACCTTGACAAAAAAACTAGTATTAATTCCTTAATTCCATTTTACAGATGAGGTACCCGAAGTTCAGGGTACCTCACTTGTCCTTACAGGCAAGTCATTGTGACATTGCACTGTAATTTCCAGACTTTCTAATTCTAGAAACAAACCCCAGATGGCCACAGAGACCTTTACAAATCCTTACTGTCACCCAAAGAGCTTTTATAATAACTAGGAGCCCTGGTGTGTTTGGTTCTGCTTCAGTCAAAGACTAGCTAAGTGACCATGGCCAAACAGGTTCCTCTTTTGTAGGCTGAGCAATTGGACTACACCTTAACCCTTTGTGGTCCAATTTTATTTTTGGAATTCAAACAGTCTAGTCCAAATTAATTGACGTGATTGAATGTTGAACCGGTTTGTGGTGTCGACCTCAGCCTCGACGTTGGACCTGCTCCTAGCGCCTGGTCTGTCGAGTCAGCCTCGATGTTGGACCGAAAAGGGTTAAAGGTCTATTTCATCTATTAGGTGTTCTTGAATTCCCAGAATAGGAAATTTAGGTGACTCTTAAATAGGCTGAACAATGCTCAACCTTAATTATGATAACTGAATGCAAATTATTATTTCACCAAGATGCTCTATCAGACTGAAAGATACCAAAATGCGTGCCACAGTGTGCTGGTCAAAGTGGGGGGAGAGATACACTCTCTGACATTATTGGGGGCCCAGAGGTGGGTACCATCTCTACTGAGGGCAGTTTAGCAACATCTATTAAAGTCCTAATACATGCAACCTCTGACCTAACAATTCCACTGCTGCCTGCCTATTTCTGTCTCTAGCACCAAAAAAAAAACAAAACAAAACAAAACAAAACCCAAAACAAAACAAAAAAACACATTAAGGAGGAAATCATTAAATTCCTTTGTGTCCTTTGTCTTTGCAGAAAAATTACTACT